GGGGGGGGTTGGGTGGGGGTGGGGGGGGGGGGGTTGGGTTGGGGGGGGGGGGGGTGGGGGGGGGGGGGGGGGGGGGGGGGGGGGGGGTGGTGGCGTGGGGTTGTGGGGTGGAGGAACCCGCCAGGAGGATTCGCCACTCAAAGTGTGACATATTTTATGCTTAGAGATATCAACAACTTTTGGGTTATAAAGATAATCTACTAGTATGGGAAATATTTTTGTTTTTTTTTTTTTTAATATCTGTTAAATTAGAAAAATGACGCTTTCACCCTTCAATATAAACTTAACAGCTTAAATATCACCCAAAAACTTGTCAAATTTATACTTGCAAACCAGAAACTTGTCAAAATATTTTATTAACCAAACAAATTTCAGAAACTAACAAATAAAATCCCAAAATACTTAAACCCCAAATCCGGCTGTTGCTTAAATGCAGGATTGGCCTTGTGGCAGCCGTGTAAGGTCATTCCCAATCTCACAATAGTCACGTATGGCCATTTGCTCACTGTGGGGGAGATTTGTTCACCTTCGAAAGCCAGATTTGACCTCACCACACCTGCAAAAGGCTAGATGCTAGGACAAAGATGATGAGAGCTACAGTAGAAAAGTGAAGGAAGAAGTAAGGGTGTTTAAAAGCGGTTAACCGGTTTTCTAAACTGAACTGGATTTTTGGTTCAGGAAAATTCTCGAACCGGTTAACCGTTTTAAAAAAAGCAGTTAACCGGTTTTCCCTTTTTTCTTTATAAAACTTTTTTTTTTTTTTAATTTTGTCCTAAATTTAATTGTAAATATAGACAATACATTGGGAACTAAGAAAAAAAATTTAGGCTGGGATTTTAGATTGAGTGAATTAGAGATTTATTTTAGTTTAGGTTATATATATATATTTGAAAAACCGGTTTAGAAAACCGGTTTTTGGTTAACCGTTTCTAATTTCTTCTGAACCGGTAACTGAACCGAAAATTCAGTTTTTTGAATTTTTTGAACCGTAACCGAACCGTTTTTTCGGTTAACCGGTTTTTCGGTTCGGTTTTTGCATTTTTTTGAACACCCCTAGGAAGAAGAAGAGAAAAGAAAGAAAAATAAAATTAAAAATATCAAAAAATTGAAATGTCAATAATACCCTGCTAAAAAGATGGAAATTTCATGAGGAAATTTAACTCCTAGGCCATCCCAAGTTTCCCTTTAACAAAATGGCCATGAAAATCTTTTTGATTTTTTTTGGGTTAAAAAATATGACGTGGCACACTTAAGTGTAATTAAAGCAGCAAAAAGGATTATGGTGAAAAGGAGTTAAAGATAATAAAGAGATGTTGATTTAAAATTTGAAAGGCAAAACACATTTCTCTCAGCTTCTCTTTCTCACAACAGGATTCAAACACCTTTCTCTCTCTCGTTTTTTCTTCCAATTTTCTGCAATTTCTTTGCTCTTTGCTTTTTTGTCATTCCTTGCCATTCCCGATTAAGTTATAATGGCTGAGATCCTTAAAGAAACAAAAAAAAACTCATCTACTCCCCAAATTGTAGGCACCACTGGGTCTACCAAAAATGGAGAAGAAGAAGTTATGGTGGAGTAACTTCCGATGACTGAAGTTGCTCCACCAAGAGAGGAGATGGCGTCGACGAAAGACATTCTATTGGCAGAACAAGGGAAGGCAAGAGTTGAAATTGAAACTAAAGAGGAGGATGCCAATGCAAATTCCAAACGTCGGACATGATCGCTTAAGCGATCTAAAATCGCTTCAGCGACCAAGAGTAAAAGCAAAGAATCGATTAAGCGATCTGGTATATGACAGGAGTAAAAGCAAAGGATCGCTTAAGCGATCTGGTATATGATAGAATATAGCTTAAGCGATCTAGTATAAGCGATTTTAGATTGCTTAAGCGATCGTGCATCTAGGCAGAAGTTGATTCTGCTTCGGACATGATAGCTTAAGCGATTATAAATCGCTTAAAGCAACCAACGTTAAAAGCAAAGGATCGTTTAAGCGATCATATGTCTGGGCACTTATTTATTGTCTTGTTCATGATCGCTTAAGCAATCTATGATTGCTTAAGTGACCAATAGTAAAAGCGAAGAATCGCTTAAGCAATACACTTAATCGCTTAAGCAATTGTGCATCTAGGCAGAAGTTTATTCTGCCTCGGACATGATCGCTTAAGCGACCAAGGTTAAAAGCAAAGGATCGCTTAAGCGATAGAATAAATCGCTTAAGCGATCGTGCGTCTGGGCACTTATTGATTCTGTCTTGTTCGTGATCGCTTAAGCGATCATAACAAGTGTAAAAGCATAGAATCGCTTAAGCGATAACATAAATACAACTAGATCTCTTAAGCGACTAAGTCTAAATACACAGGATCGTTTAAGAGAGAAATGAAATCTCTTAAGCGATCCAGCGTATTTGGATTTTTTTTATTGTATTTCAGTAGATTGGTTAAGCGATTAACGCTATCTTAGACATATAAGGTGTACGATTCATTCAGTGGACCATGACCGATATTATATTTTAATTAAATTAGTTCTTTAACGACTATATTAAACATATATGGTGTAGAATGTTTATATCTATATTAAAAATATCAGGTATACGATTCGTTCAGTGGACCATGACCGTTATTATATTTTAATTAAATTAGTTATTTTATGGCTATATTAAACATATATGGTGTAGAATGTTTACGTCTATATTAAACATATTAGGTGTACGATTCGTTCAGTGGACCATGACCGTTATTATATTTTAATTAAATTAGTTCTTTTACGNGTAGCCAAAAGAAAAGAAGAAAGAAGGGCATGTATAACAATTGAAGTTGATGGTCATGTAAGAGAATGCAAATTTATGGCATTAAGATTTGTATTTAGAAAGTTGTAAAAGGCATGTTTGTTACATTAGAAAAATATTAGAGAGTTGTTTAATGACATGGTTATGTGACATATAAGTTTGAGAAAATCTAGTAGCATAATTGGGCAAGTTAGTATACTTAATACCTATGTTATGGCATAGCTTTTTATAGAAGAAATTAGATTGCCCAAAATGTAGAATTTATTCCCTAATTGAATTGTGCTGTTTTAATATCTCACTAATAGAATTATAGAAGAGTAGAATTTGTGAGAGATAATGTACTTGTGTACGTGTACATTTTACATAGTATGATAAATTAAAGAATTACATAATTATGTAGAAATTATAGAATCGTGTACGTACACACGATACATAGAATTCAGAAATAAAGAATAAAATAGAAAATGTTTAAGTTAAGCGTGTTATTAGAATAGAACTTTGGGCTTTCCAAAAAAATATAAAAATAAAAGCCTTAGAATTAATAGAATACATGCCAGAGTCAAACACGTATTTTGGGATCATGCATAGACAGCATATAAATGCATGATATAGCATAGCATATAATTCAGAAATTTTAAAACTATTGGAAAATGTCTAGCTAGTTATTTTGCAGATTTACAGAGCATGTTTTCAGAGGGCTATTGCGTGGGGAACCTGTGAGCATTCGCTGCATTAGCTAGTGGCAACAGAGATACAGAAGTTTCCCACATGCACGCCGCCATTAGTGAACGACCTCAGAATAGAAAACAAAATTGTACAGTCCGCCAGAAGTGCATGTGGATGAGGGCTGTACCCAGAAAGAATTTCAGAATACGCTCACACGGCCAGGGTTCCAAATCCATGCCTCAGCCTAGTCCGATCGGCAAAACAGAACAGAATACAGAATGAATTTCAGAAAAAGAAAGAAAAATAGAATAAGAAATAGAAAACAGAAAGAATTTCAGAAAAAGAAAGAAAAAATAGAATAAGAAATAGAAAACAAAGAATTTCAGAAAGAAAGAGAAATAATTTCATAACGAATTAGAAAAGAATTTTTAGAAAGAATACAAACATGATCATTTGCATATGCATCATACATCTTATGTGCATTGTATCTCATGCATTTATGCATAGATTAAACAGATTATTTTATTATTGTGTGTCTGACTAGCTAAAAAAAGAAAATAGAAGCCCATGAGAATAAAGAATAAAAGAAAATAGAAGCCTATGAGAATAAAAAAGAAATTAGAGATATACAAGAAAAGAACATAAATTAGATACATGCTAGAAAAGAAAATAAATTAGAAACATGACAAATAGCAAGGAAACTTAGCGATTTGTTGAGTAGAGAAATAAACATAAAGTTATAATCTAGTAGAAAAGAGAAATAAAATGATAAAGAATAGCACAACACTAGGAGGATTTAGAAATATTTGAGAAAAATAGAAGACTGCTAAGTAGTACGCCTGAGAATAAAGAGAGAAATCAAGTAGAAATTTAGAAACAGTACAGCGAAAACGGAGATAGCGGAGTAAGAGCATAGTTAGATTTGGTTTATTTACTGAACATTTATAGCTCACCTCGTTGCTTTTCTTATTTTTGCAAGTATTAGATTGTAGTGGTCGGGAGACGTAAAGCCGATGAGAGGATTGCACACACTGTCTTAGTGAAGAAATTTAATGTGGATTTATATATGTGAGAAATAATCTTTGTGTAATAGTATGTTATAACTGGATTAAGGATAAAAAAATTTAGACGAACACCCTTTTTAAACTAGCAATTCTTTGGATTCTCTTTATAGGATACTCAATGAATACTTGTCTAGTGAAACATTACATTCCCTATAGAAGAACAATCATTTCTTAGTTCTAGCCGAAATCATTCGGTGATAGAGGTTTGTGAGGAAAAATTTGTGAGATGTGTTTATCAATCTACTTTTATTCTTTAAGCAAATACACAGGTTGATTTTTTATTTTTTTAATGACCTCTTTAATCCTCAAGAATAATACACCTAAAGTCCCTATTTGATTATCCAATTATTGGTTTACACGTGTCACTGTTAAACTGCCGAGTATTTTTTTTTATTAAATAAAGACAAAGACAAGTGCTTATCTTTAAAATTACCAAAAAAAAAAAAACGACGTCGTAAATGTCTACACTGTTAAAGTGGTGTCGTTTAACCTCCGATATAAGAAAATGTGGAGCATCTTCTCAAGCAAGGTTTTTGGATGACACAGCTACCAGAAGGTCCAGACTACCAAACCAGTCCCGGTGAATCTTGAAAGATATCCGTCCAAGGTAATTTTGTCTCTCCTTTTTACAAGACTTAATCTTAATCAATAATTCTAGGCCGTGTGGATTGCTTATTCCTTGGTTATTTCGGAGATAGTTTATAAGAGAACTCTCAATGTGTAAGAGAGCTTGCTTATTTCTTGCTTTTTCTTTTTTCTTTTTTTTTTTTTCTTTTTTTTTTCTTTTTTTTTTCTTTTTTTTCTTTTTTTTTTTTTTTTGCATTAGGAATTGAAAATTATAGTTCGAAACTTTGGTGTTTGTATAATCTTCTAATTATTGGTGTTTCACTAGAATTTTGTACTCTGCCGGTATGTAATAATTGGACTTAAATTGAGTTCATTTAGATTTAATCACAATCTAGAATATTGTATTTGTATGGTTCCAAATGCTGTTGAGATTCTACTCCTTTTAAGCTAAAATATTATAAATTAAACCACTCTATATTTCCACTTCTACTTAAAATTTTGAAGAATTAATGTCCAAATGCTTGGTTCATGATTTTTTTTTTCTTTCCTTCTTTTTACTTTGATTTTAATATTTTTTGTGCTTTTTTTCCCTTTAATTAATGTATCCAGTGTTTTTTTTTTTGATGTGGTGAGTTGGAAGTACTGATAAATGATAATCTCTTTTTCGATAAATTATCACTGTTTCCTTTTAGTGTGTTTTAGCTCATGGATTTGGGTTTTATTAGCAGTTAGTAGATTTGTTAAAATGTCTGGTGAGTATTTGCAAACGGCAGCAGCTAGTAACTCTGGTTTCGCAGAACCTGTCCCAAAACCTCAGATCGTATACCGCTGCAAAAAATGCCGGAGAATTGTTGCCTCAGAGGAGAACATAGTTCCCCATGAGCGAGGAAAGGGAGAGCAATGTTTCAAATGGAAAAAGAGAAGCAATGACCCTGGGAAAATAGAAAAGGAAGTAGCCGAATGCTCCTCCATATTTGTGGAATCTATGAAGTGGATGCAATCATGTAACTGCAAATTCTTAACCTTTTTTTGTGTTTTTCTTTTCACACACACACATATATGCATCGTAGAATACTAATTTAGCCTTTACGTTTGGCTTGCCAGTACAAGAAGGTTCCGTGGAAGATAAACTTCAGTGCATGGGATGTAAAGCCCGCTTGGGTTCCTTCAACTGGGCAGGTATGCAGTGCAGTTGTGGAGCCTGGGTGACTCCTGCGTTTCAGTTGCACAAAAGCCGATTAGACAAGTGTGAAGTAGGACTACTCTAGCCCTTTTTTTTTATTTCATGATAAAAAACTGAGACAGTGAAGTATCATGAGAATAAAAACTGGTTGCATATAGTTACATGAGTTTAGATGTACAAATGATTGATTACGAATTCAATAATATTAACCTCACTAATCCCATGTGGGAGTTTGTGATTAGCTTGGTTAGATAGGACCCATTATTAGACAGACGGACCCCATGTAAATTGACGAATTGTGAACTGACATTTGGCGTTAGTAAGAGAAGGTTAGTAAGAAGTGTTAGTGAGTGTAGTATTACTCTTATGAATTTCCTTATGATTTTCACCCTTTTATTGCTTGATGGAATATGCTGCATTTGGTGACTTGGTATTTTAAATTCACCCTTTTTCTTTCCGTTTTGTTGTTAGTTTTGTTGTTATTTCCAATACTTTTTTCCATTCTATATCTTTGTTTTTGGTCGTCCCATGATAGAGAAGTACATAGATATAGCTTGTGCTTGGCGTATGATTATATATATTTCTCAAGTTCAGAAGGTCCTTGTCCATAGAAATAATAACTAAAATTTGTGCAAAGTAACCTTTCTTGACGAAGTAGATGCATGGAATTTTGTTTCTTATTCTTCTTTTTATTGACGAATAGGCATCATTCTTTCATTTGAAAGACTGAGAGAAATATGAAACAAGGAAGTAGAGACTGCTACTTGATTCTGCTTAATTCTACGTCTTCTTTTTTATCTTTTTTCAATCATTTGAAGAGACTACTAGTAGAAGCCCCATTGGTAGTGTAGCAATTACTCGCGGATCATTCCAGGAACAAGATTATCAAAATATGAATAAGATTTATTTTTGGAAATGATAACTTGGACTACTTTAGAGGGCACGAAACTTGAGAAAATCCCAAAATACGAGATTCAATGCCTCCTCCCAAAGGCCGCCTGTCAAATGCTCGTTATTGCTTTGGTGTTGCATAGACCAACTCACTTTGATCCTTGCGACACTGGTGGTGTTGCCGGATGTGCAAAGATATTGAGTTATTCAGATAAGGTATGCATTACTTATTAGGAAAGGTATTAATTTATTCTAATAAGGTATGGAGTAATTGATAGGTTGCTGAATCCCTTAACCTGGTAAAAGTTTATAATCCAGAATTTTTATTTCATTCACTAATGCTGGCATGAGAAATTTCATCAGTGAAGAACCTGTAGATAATAATTTAAGTAAAAGAAAATTTGAAGTGGCAAAAGGATAGCTATTCTGCCATTTAACTGTAATTAAAAGCAGGCAAACAGGCTCTGAGCAATCACTGGCCGGCAGCAAATGCCTCAACTGGGAAAGTCTTGGTGATGCCGGCAAGGCTCTTGAAGTGCATTTTTCCGGTGGGTGGGTCATCAACAGTGATCTCATTGACCGGAGGCCAGAGCATTAGTTCCTTAGCCTTCACTCCCTTGAGCTTCTTGATCCGTTTCTTGTCAATAAAACCAGTTATTTCAGTGTCATAGCTCACAAGCTTGCTGATCATTTTGAAATTGTGTTCAACCTTCTTCTTCTGGGAGATCCACATGTAGCCAGTATTCTTAACGTAACCAACTTCAATTACATCTGCAAGAGGGAGAAGCCCCCCAGGAAGGCCAAACTCTTGAAGAAGAGAAGTAGCCATCCGAATTCCCTCTTGATGACCCTTCTTCACAACTCCTCCTTCCTTCGCCGCCATAACCAAATTTAATTTGTTTCAGTTACTTATTTGCTTGACCAAGTTTGATATAAGCTACACATAAATAAAAGGGTTTATTTATACTGGGTGCATACATTGTATAAAACAAATTCAATGGAGATTTCTATGCAAAACACATTGTAAAAGCCCCCAGAATTTGGTTTTCCAGTTTAAACCGGCCGTATTTTCATAAAAATAAAATGTTGAAGTGTTATTTCTCTTTTGGCTTATTTTATATACTGTTAACTAGGCAAATTGTTTCTTCCATGAAATCAAAAGTCAAAACATTGTCCTTTCTTAATAGGGTGTACGCAGCACTGTAGATTTCTTCATTGTAATTTACTATTGGGATATCAAGATAAACTAGAAACAACCGTCCAAATAAAATATGCAGGGCGAAGAATAGAACCAAGTACATTTTGAGTACGTAGCCTGCAAAAATTTGGGCTGTCTCCAGTCTACATAAGTATATACGTTTTTGTTTTGTTATAGTCGTATCTGGATCTGCATTAGTAGGTACCCTTTTGTTTTATCACAACAGTATCTGTTATCTTTAATCTTTTGTTTTTGGGTGTGAACGAGGAAAAAAATAAAACCAATTCATCATCCGATAAAACCTTCTTATATACATAAGAAAAATTTATTCATCCTAATGCCTGTGTTTGCAGGGGTGATCAATGTTCGGGTTTGTAATTTTGTATATAGCATTAGATACTTTATTATTATCAATATGAAAAAGTGCAAACAAAAAACTAAAAGAGTGGTTCTTTTATCTCATCATTGGATAAAGATGTTGGATTTGTTGATCGCTTCAACAATTTTGGGCGAGACAAACACATTCGGGGTTCCATAGTCAGTTAAGCCTATTCCATGAAGAGTCATTATAGAATTTCTCTAAGAAATTAAATTCTTAATGGGTTTGGGCTTAGGAAAAATGATTCTAATAATATTAGATTTTTCTCATTAAATCTAATATATAAACTTATTATTTTCTTGTATAAGTGATATAGCAAATTAAGCAAATACATCCATTCTAATGTGAGAGGATGAGTCAATATTATAATAATATTGAGGGGGTGTTTGCTAAGCCTATAAGCTGGTCAAACTAGCTTATAAGCTCTAAAATAAGCTGACATGTTTGTTTATAACTTTTTTGAGCTTATAAGTTGAGCTTATAAGCCAAAAAAAATAAGTTGGGGGGGAGGTACTTTTTTTTTTGCTTATAAGCATTTTGCTTATAAGTTAGTTTGACCAAATATATTACCACATTATCCTTGTTTAATTTTAAAATTTCATAGTATACTCTTATTTAATGTAGTATATTTTTTAGTCATTTTATAATAAAATGTACTTATAAGTTACAGTTTACCAAACACGTCAACTACTTATCAGTCACTTATAAGTATTTTAACCAAATACGTAATTACTTAAAATTTTAAATGTTTATAAGCTAATTTTAGCTTATAAGTAATTGTTGCTTATAAGCTAATTTTCATAAGCTCAGACAAACACCCCCGAGACTTTGTTAGACGTAGCCCGAATTTTGGATGAACCAAAGTAAACCGCACGTGTTTTCTTTCACTTTATTAGTTTGATATTTGTGATTATTTATTTGTTTGATTTCGTATTACTCTCTAGATTGTTTTAGAAGAAACCCAATTTTTTAATAATATTTAAATTTACACCTCATTTCTATGTTCAAAACAATAATTCTTTTATATTTATTCAATTCATATTGCGACGAAGTTGAAATATTTTTTCAATAATATTATGTGTACTTACGAGTGTACTAACCATCGTACTAACCTTTGTAAATATAAAGCATAATACAGGTACCACAGTATAGTACGGACACCATATGTAATTTTAACAAAGATTAGTAAGATCCATGAGTACGGATAGCATTACTCATATTTTTTAGAACTAAAAATTGGTGTAATAAAGAAGGTATATTTTTGCAATATGATACGTCATATTACAAGCAATATAATTGTAAGTTTTTTGTTACTTCTCAGATTTTTTTTTTTTTTTTAATTCTAATTATATTTTTAATTAAAAACCAGTTGAAAAATGAAAGAAGCAAAGATTTCATGTTAATTATGTTTTGTCTTTTTTAAAAGAATTGTTTGTTATACTTGTGGAAACATAAAAGAATAAGAATATTCTTATTTTTTTGCTGCTTGTAGTAAAACATAAATTTATTGTTTTTTTCCTTCAAATTATTGGTAGTGATTTCAATCTCAATAATTGTTTCTGTTCTTTAGTTGTATTATATCCATGGCTTTATTATTTGTATGGATTGTTTTATTTTATTTTTTATTTTTAATTATTTTAAACTTTTAATTTCATTATCTAAAAATGTGTATGGGAGTAATGACAGAGGTGGGATCCAGGGGTCTTATGGTCGAATAGCGAGAGAAGCAATTACCAAGTTCATATTTTATGCGCTTTTACCACTAGATAACCTAATGGTAAAAGAACAAATGAGGATCTAAGATGGTCTTCCAAGTTCGAGTCTCTTTGATAGTAAAAGAGTTCTCTTAATCTTTTAACCACCATTGGGTAACTGAGTAGTCAATTAGGACTCTGGGTGTATTACTCAAGAGGTCCCGGTTCGATTCACTTCAACCCCAAATAGGGGTGGCCACCGAAACTCTTATTCAACTGGTAGTTTTAAGGTTCCAGGAGATTAGTTGAGGTACACGCAAACTGATTCGAACACCATCGATCATTAAAAAAAAAAAAAATAGTATGAGTGGCAACCGAAACTCTTACTCGACTGGTAGTTTTAAGGTTCCAAGAAATTAGTTGAGATGCATACAAACTGATTCGAACACCATCAATCATTAAAAAAAAAAAAAAAAAGGTAGTATGAGTGAAAATAATGAAATATTCTTCTTTTAAAAGAAATGGATCTAGATTGGTATCATAAGAATATCTAATTCCAATAGCTTTTGAGCTAAGTAAATATGGGAATTATTGAACAAAACTTTGAAGCAATGGACTCAATCTTGGAGCATGATCCAAGGAACAGGATTAGGCTATGTTGTGCAAGTGATATATAATATGCATGGGAAATATATTTAAAAAATAATAAAATTTCCTATTATAGTACTAAGATGTCGTGCCGTGCAATGGAGTGATTAAATTTAAAACTCTTGCTTTTGTTCCCTATTGTTAGGTACATCTCTTCAAATTCTATATTGAATCAAACGGTTGAAATTACCTGATTAAACATATCATACTACTTTTTTTTTATGACCGACAATGTCTAAGTTAATTTACACTCACCTCAATTAATATTTTTAGACCTTAGAACTATTAGACTGATAAAAACTCTAGTAATTACTTCTATTAGTAATTGAGGAAAGGCTTGAACTCATAATCTTTTGAGTAACACATTCAAAAGTTTCTATCGAACCAATTTGGTTTCCAAAGATAATTGACATATGATATTATTTTCTTATTCCACCCCCATATAAGAATGGGTGAATCAAATTTATAACTATGCTACCAATCGATATCCGCCTGAATGAAACAAAAGATGTGATACATATGATATACCATGGACCTGTTCATATGTTTCCCAATCTGATTGGCCAAACCACGTATAATTACACAAAACTCCCTACTCGACCTGACCAAAAACCAAATCCAATTGGTTGGACATCTCTCCCAGACTCCCACATCCCTGACCAACCGAGTCACACTGGCCTTCCTAATTATTACAACATCTTTGTCTCCTATCCCATTCTTCCTTGAAGACAAAACCAATAATATATTATATACAAATTAGACAAAAAAAAAAAAAAAAGAGTACCAACAAAAATTAGGGAGTTGTTGATGCAGAATTGCAGATAAGGAAATTAAAAGTCGAGCATGGGCATGGCAGGTGATGGGCATGGGCTTTGCTATGATTGTCGAATTTACCAATACACTGCAGATATGGTGCCGATGCTGACATAGCATTGGAAACCGAAATTTTTGGATTTTCTCTTTCTTTCTCTATATATGGCTACCACTTCTTTGATTCCCGCTTATTCTGCTTCTTCTCCCAGACTTAGTAATACTAGCAGAGATGAAGCTCGTGGTCATGGACCTTTAGCTTCTTCCACGTCCTTTTTCTTTTCCTGTTCCTGTTTCTCTTCTGGTAATTTCAATTCCTTATTTCGGTTTTAGTTTGGAGAGGATTCGAATTAGAAACTTGAAAGATTAGATTTACTGTTGTATTTGTAAAGGTTAGATATATGAATTTCAATTTTAGTGGAATTGAAGGTTCAATATTAGATAATGTTTTAACTTCATTTCATTTAAAGGAGTAATTTCTAAATGAGTTCCGGTGTAAATTGCTGATCATGCTGAATGAATTGTAATGTTATCGTATGTCTTCTGTGGTGCATTAAATTGAATTTGTCATTTAAGATTTGGTTGAGGATAAAACACACTCTTCTTTGCACACAAACTGCTACATCATACGCATAAATCAACTGTATGTAAGGAGCCGCTAGTTAAATTAATGTAATTAAGATGCAATAGAGGTCAATGATATTGCAGATAGGGAAGTAACTAGTTTGTTGTGAGATTTGGAACTTGAAAGCATCTCCACGATCATGGTCTATGGGTTTGGTTTAGTTGTCTGGTGTTGAAGCAGGGATTTGGGCTGGACAGTGGACATTTCTGGAGGAATTGTTGAATTGATGCGTGAAGAGGGACTTTTGATGGTGTTGAAAAGAAGTGAGATGAAATTATGTGCTTACGGCTGCATGGAGTTAGATTGATGCAATTTCTGACTATGGGAAATTGGATGACTGTAGTGTTTTGACCTTGATGCTTGAACGCAGTTACACATTTTTGTTTGTGGTTGTCACTCTTGTTAGACTTTTGACTTCAGTCATGTGAGCTGCATAGCTGGTCTTTCTCATATGTGACAGCGATTATTTCATATTGAGTTGAATGTTTTAATTAAGGTCTTTGGTCTTTTTTAAACCCTGTTCATGCTGTTGTAGATGGTTGTTGTTAAGACCTGAGAGTATGTGCTGATAACCTTTTTGTCTAAAACTGATTTGTGATATCACTGGGCATTATTTTGTCATTGTGTGTGCTTAGCTAGGATAACTGCCCTCTGTCTGGTGAAGGGTGTCTACTTTGCAGAAGCTCAATTTATAAAGAGAACTCATATGTGATATTGCATTTTCAACATTCCTCTCATTCTAAATTGGGGGAAAAAGTAACAAGAAATATTGAGACAAAAAGTTAGAGGTAATACTGTGCCCCCCCCCACCCCCCCAAAAAAAAAGAAAAAAAAAAACCGTTGGGATGGTGTAGGAAAGTGAAAGAAATTAATGCTTTAAACAGAAAAGTAAGGGTGTAACTATGTTGTGACACTTTTCTCAAGTAAATATGTCTATCATGCTTTTCAATCATTTTTTCCTTGCTTGTTTTTGAATATGTAACTGAACTTGGACAGGGATCAATAATTGGAAACATCAAGGCTTTAAAGCTCAAGCTATGAGTACCACCACTCAGGAAAATTTTGCATCACCAAGGGGAATTGTGAATGGGAGAAATGATCCTGACCATCTTCTTGTTCTTGTTCATGGTATCTTGGCTAGGTATATGTTGATCAACTTCCACTCACAAAGTAGTGAATGCCCCATTGAAGAAGTCAAAACTAAATGTGGTATTAATATTGTTACTGGTGGAAACACATTGCATTAAGTCCATTCTAAAAATGTACATCCAAAAACCCTGTTTGCATCAGTTTTTTCTCCAAATTGCCATTAATACCATTCCATATCTACATTGCTACTTCAAGTACTATATGCTCATATCATTTTTAGGCTTCCGATTCCCTTTTTCAGTATTTATTGTATTAATTATGGTATTAGCTGGTTTAGTGGTCCTTGGATTGGGATTTGGAACTGAACCCTTGTCATGCGACAATTTTGGTGGGTCGGTGCTGTTACCTTTTTTGTGCCTAGAGAATTTTATGTCTCATATCTTTCGATAAATATAATTGTGGAAACTTTTAGCCTTTTATGCAAGAAAGCATGCACTTCTGCATATGCTCTTTTCTCTAATAGACTATATTACTTAATAGGATTAGTATCTTGGTTTAAATGAAATTAATTGATACTGTCATAATGTCAACGAATTATCACTGTTTGGGCTTAAAGTATTTATGTCATGCTTATTGTTATTTCAGCTCTCATTTTAAATTGATACCTCTCTTCAAAATGCAGCCCAAGTGACTGGACATATGTGGAAGCTGAGTTAAAAAGGCGTCTTGGGAGAAACTTTTTAATTTATGGTATGCTCATGTCTTTTATTTTCAACATTCTTCATATTCACATGGCAAAAAATCAGTTATTTTTGTTGAATTCTATTGTCAATGTTGATAAATGATATAATTTAAGATGGGAACGCCAAGGAAATTAGGAATATCCTCAGTTTGATAGTATATTGGGGGGTTACTGATTGAGGTATTTTGCCAATTTCTAAGCGCAATAATCATAACACCATTTAGTAGTAATTTGTATTTATTTGAATGCTTTTATAAAGGATGGGGTGACTAGAAAGAATGAGAATGGTCTCATTCTGAATAACCAATATCTGATTTTTTGGCAGAAAGATGTGGTTCGTTCTGAACCATGAAAAGGTCAGAAATGTGCTGATGACACAAAATAGTTAGACCAATGTGCTAGAAATGATTATAGTAGCAATTTTTGCTGTGGTAGTTTTAGCTTCTTATTATGTTGCCAGTTATTGTAAAGTTTTATATGTTTACATCTGCAGCAAGTTCATGTAACACTTACACCAAAACCTTCTCTGGGGTTGATGGAGCTGGAAAGCGATTAGCAGATGAAGTGAGTCTTGATATGTGTTCCATTTATATGTATATGACCTGCATCTTTATAGGGAATTACATGTGTATCAAAATTGATGATCTTTCTTCCTTAATAAACAGGTCATGCAAGTTGTGAAGAAGACAGATAGCCTTAAAAAGATCTCCTTTTTAGCCCATTCTCTTGGAGGGTTGTTTGCAAGATATGCAGTTGCTGTCCTTTACTCACCAACTCCCTTAGGAAGTGACGAACCTGTTGATCTGGCTGATTCTAAGATGGCAAACTCACAAACAATGTTCTCTCCTAGACGAGGTACAATTGCAGGACTCGAGCCAGTCAATTTCATTACCCTGGCGACTCCACATCTTGGGGTGAGAGGGAGAAAGCAGGTTTGTTCTGGAGGGTGCTGACTACTGTGCTTATATGATGCTACATAATTACTATGTAGTATTCATGTTATTATTGGTTTCATTGTTGCTACTTTTTTCTCCCAAAATTGTCTTTATATTTCAATATCTATACATATTTGTACGTGCTCATTTTGTGCACATTAGGGTCTTACTGATTCAAATTGATAAACCTTCATTTCATCAATGCTTGCAACGTGCTAAGATACTAAACATATTTTTAAATAGTTTTTAAGGTACAACTGAGGTACAAGAAATATAGGTGCAGGGCCCCTCACCTCCACCTGCTGTCTAGTGTGGGGCTCTGTCCTCGCTGTGAGGAAATAAAGTTGTACCCTTACTGCAGCCATTGTCTCTAGTCGAACGTTAAAGCATTTGATTCTAATATTGGGAACTATCACAAGTGTAGCCTGATTAACATTTTGTTGACAGTAAACTCTTCAATCATGTTCAAAAATCTAGTTATTCCTCAATTCAGTATTCTTGAATCTCACTGAGTATGTTAATACATAATAGTATTATTGGTAACCAGAAGGATCCTATATTAAGTTCATTAATTTTACTCTCATGATTGTTTTCCAGCTTCCATTTCTCTTTGGAGTTCCCATTCTGGAGAAACTTGCTCTTCCACTAGCTCCAATTTTTGTTGGCCGGACTGGTAGTCAACTGTTTCTGACAGATGGTAAACCCAACAACCCACCCCTGCTTTTGAGAATGGCATCTGACTGTGAAGATATAAAGTTTTTGTAAGTACAGAGACCTTTTATAGTAATTGGAGCTATCCTCTTTTCTAAGTTAATCTAATGTTTCTAAAATGTTTTCTCTTGCAGATCTGCCCTTGGTGCATTTAGATGTCGCATTCTTTATGCAAATGTGTCTTATGATCGTATCCTACTGCGCATCATCTATTTGTTGTACTTTTCTTAAAGTAAATCAGCTAGCTCTCTCAACCTTTTTTTATTAGGCTTCTCATTTGCCATTGAGTTGGTTCTTTGACGATAGAAAGATATGGTTGGTTGGCGCACATCATCCATAAGGAGGGAGACAGAACTTGTGAAGGTCAGTTTGATGGTTTCTCTTCTTCAAACGCATTATATGATAATGCATCAATCTTCATTGACCTATTATTTGAGATGTGTGCATTCAATTTTGGACTGGGATTAAGAAAATGCTTATCTTCAGTTATAATAAATAGAAAAAAGTAGGTTATTAGGGAACAATAAATTATTACAAAAATGCCTATGTTCAATAGTAATAAGTAGAAAACCCAATTTTGTTACTTTTGTGCTTTGTGTATATGGCATTCTTGGAAATGCATGCATGTGTGTTTCCATATGCATGTCTAATAGCAAATTTATGTCTTTACACAAGTCTTAAGATTCAAAAAGGCTTATTTCCTCATTAAGTCACAGTTTGGTGTAGTTGTGAAGTAGTTTCTTATTCGCCCCCAAGGACAGTGTCCTGGTAATGGGGTTTTCCTTTGTTTAAAAATAAATAAATAAATAAATAAAAATTATAACTGAGACCCCCTTCAGACTCAGCAATTTGAATTTTGTCATAACGAGGTCATATAGTTGTTTCTATAATTATGGAATTATTTAAATGAAAATTCACTTCTTTTTCTTATGTTGTTTTAAGTTGCTGCCAAAGGATGAGGAACTGTCTATTATTTTTCATTTAAACTGTGATCCTTTTAGTGGCGGAATTTCTTTAAAAAGTTGCTGCAGTAATAATCCGTCATTAATTAAAATCATCCTATTCTGTAAGACATTTGTAGTAGGCCATAATTGTTGAGCAAGTACTATAAATGTGGAAAGTATAGAATTGTTCGAGTATCTACAATGGCAGAAGGACAAACAACCTTTGGTCAGAAGGTTTATCTCCTGCTTTTTTTTTTTTTTTTTTTTNATCCTTTTAGTGGCGGAATTTCTTTAAAAAGTTGCTGCAGTAATAATCCGTCATTAATTAAAATCATCCTATTCTGTAAGACATTTGTAGTAGGCCATAATTGTTGAGCAAGTACTATAAATGTGGAAAGTATAGAATTGTTTGAGTATCTACAATGGCAGAAGGACAAACAACCTTCAGAAGGTTTATCTCCTGCTCTTTTTTTTTTATTTTTTTTTTCCTGTGGCAGTTTAGGAATTTTCTCATTGGAAATTATCAGTGAGCTTACATAAAATGAATATTTCTTCTCATTGGAAATTATCAGTGAGTTCTTATAAAATGTATAGTTCATGTATATTTGGTTCAGCTTAGGATCAGCTGCTTGTAACCTCTAAATATCATGTCTAACCCTAATAGTGCTAAGTGAGGGTGGGTGCAGAAGCACTTTCCATGGTGGGAGCAACAAGAGTTTGCCATGGGAGGTAATAAAGTTTGAGCCATGGATAAATTTTACAGGGGATACATAGAATTTGCTATTTGGAGTTGTAAGCACCAATTTTATGTAAATTAGAAAGTACACAGTTTTTAAATGAAGATTGTAATTGTTTGTTATGCATCTTGGTGATATTTTGAAATTAATGGACAGCCTCCTCGTCGATCTTTGGATGGTTACAAGCATGTGGTGGATGTGGAATATTGTCCACCAGTTTCCTCTGATGGCCCCCATTTTACTCCAGAAGCAGTCAAAGCAAAGGAGGCAGCACAAAAGGAACCCAGTATGCAAAATACTGTGGAGTATCACGAAATTGTGGAAGGTAAGTTTGATGGCAATGGAAGCTGAATTATGTTGGAAATCTTCAACTGAACTTGGTTATTCCATGTTAATGAGTTCTTATAGCATACGTTTGTTATATTAACAGAGGAGATGATAGGTGGTCTACAACAGTTAGGATGGAAAAAGGTCGATGTCAGCTTTCATTCGGCATTCTGGCCCTTCTTTGCTCATAACAATATACATGTACTGCCCCTCTTGAATTTCCATCTGAAAATGTAAGCTCATATTTGTATTTCATTTTCTAATTTGATGGTTGTTGGTAATGTAGGTGAAAAATGAATGGTTTCATAATGCTGGTGCCGGAGTGGTTGCTCATGTTGCAGACAGCCTAAAGCAACAGGAGTCATCCTCGTTCATTGCTGCTAGCTTGTAGAGATGGCATACGATTAAAGTACTTACAGCTAAAACGTGTATAATATGAGCTAAAACGTGTATGAGCTAAAATGTAAGCTCATACTTATATTTCACAACTGTAGCAGACATGATGAAATGAAAAAAAAAATTAAAAAAAAAAAATGAAACATTCTTTTATAGTGATCACTGATGATATGAAGTTGTTTAATTTTCGGTTAGCCCAGCAGACGGTAGAATTATAGTTTGAAAGCATAATCCAGCTTAGTCAATTTTGTCTGGTGACTCTTTGGGCAACTTGAACTTATTATTTTGTTTTGTGGGTTAATAAATTAGGAAGGACGAAGTGTGTGACAAATCTTTTTTTTTATTTTTTATTTTTTAATCATCAGATTGTTCGGATCAATTTACGTATACCTCAACTAATCCATCAAAATCTTGAAACTAACAATCAAGTAAGAGTTTCATTGGCTATCCCTATTAATAATTGAAGAGGGATTCGAATTCAAGATTTCTTGAGTAATACATTCAGTAATCTCTATCGAACTACTCGGTTAGTAAAAGGTAGTGTATATAACATATCTTATCTTATAAGACATTCATTTCTCCAATGACACCGAATAAATATGGTAGTGAGGATAAATTCACCTCTGCATGATATAATAGTTTATGTAATATCGTAATCTCATTAAAATATAATACTACACAGAGATATTAATAAAGTAGATTCTTTCTTTTATTAATATTTATACAAATATACAATTACTGTAGTTTTATAATATCCTTCTTACGAGTAACTTTTTAATTTTACTTTTTGACTTTTTATAAATAAATATCTAAAATAATCTTTACTTGTTTTACATATAAATATATAATTAGATACCCATTCCGTTTTTATTTTATTATAGAGAATAAAGAATTTAAGTGACAATATCTGTTATAATTTGATTTTTTAAAGGATTTTTTTAAATAAATAATTTTAAACTATAAGATGGGTAAGTGATGAAAAGTCTAATATAAATTAGAAAAAAACAAAGGGGAGGTTAGTGACTGTAAGTCGTAATTATTAGAAATTTACCAACAAGCCCTTCAGCGATCAAATCCCTTTCTGACTTCTAAACTTTTACTACCTTTCCAACGATACTGCAATCAAAAACTCTAATTCCCAGCCACCGCGTCTGGTGGCGCTGTCGCCGCAAAGCTTCTGCCCAAGGTAACTACGTCTCTTCATTTTACAAAACCTAATCGTAGTTTCCATTGAACTTAATTTTTTTTTTTTTAATCAGTTATTTGAGCTGTGTGGATTGCTTAGTCTTTGGTTAATTGGAAATTAATTTATATAAACTTTCTGTGTGCACATGAACTTGTATACATCTCGCTAGTTCTTTTGCATTAGAAATTGAAATCTTTAATGAGTTAATTGTAATTTACCCTTAGATATCATTAAATAACAATTTGTCCTAAATTTATAGTTTATCTCCTGATGTCATTGTTATGTCTAGGTTTCTTCCTTTTGACTAACATATTTTACTGTTAAGTTCGTTAAATTAAATGCTCTTGATATGTTAAACTAAACACCAGAACCTTACAAAACTCGGTCGGTAGGGTGAATTATTATTTTAGATACTAAGATGAAATTATTGTCTAGTGATACCTTTAGGGAAATTTTGTAATGAACTCATTTTAATTGGAAAATGTTGGTGTTTGTATAAACTTCGAATGATTGCTGTTTCAATAGAATTTTGTACTCTTCCAGTGTAAAATAATTCCTTGGACTTAACTTGAGATATATTTTGGAGAGTTAATCACTGTCTAGTATATGGTATTTTTTATGATTCTGAATGCTGCAGAGATGCTAATCGTTTTGAGTTAAAATATTCTAAATTAAATCACTCGGAATTTTCCTCTTCTCCTTAATAAGTTTAAGAGAATTAAATGTCCAAATTATTGTTTCATGAGTTATTTTTCTTTCTTTCTCTTCTCATGGATTTATTTTTTATTTTCCGTTAATAGCTTGTTCAAAACTTCCAGTGAGCATATGCAGATGGCAGCGCCTAGAATCTCTGTTTTGACAGGACATGTCAACTATATCACTCACAAATTCTATATAAAATTATAATTTTCTCAAGGAAAAAACACCAAATTTTCATCAGGCATATGTCCTGCACAAGTTGCCAATCAAAATCCCTAACCCATGACCACATATCAGGCAATGTGATATGCACATCATTTGGTACGGTCCAGTCATTCGACAATTTTGACGCCCAAACCTATGGGCATGACGGCCCTATTGGAACCTACATCCATGTCGGCTCTGTAGGTACCGGCTCTATCCTAAATTACAACGAGAAAAAATCTATGAGTCTAATAAATTAATCGATGAATATGCTTACAAATTAAATTTGACCTGTCAACGATTTGTCGATGTCAAAAACATGATTGATGAAGTTACCCAAGGTGAATTTGGGTTAGAGGAGTGGTTTCCCATTTTAATCGGCGCGTGTAGTTATATTGTTATGAGAATGGAGAATAAATCATTACCAATGGGTGAGATTGCGTCTGTTTTGAATTGTGATGTGTATGAAATGGGGAGAATGGTTACACGTGTGGTTGAGTTTTTGAATTTAAAGTTGCCTGAATTTGATATTGTGATTATGTTTGAGAAAGTTTTTAGTAACTCAAAAGTGGCTAAATTGGTTAAATTGGAGAGGGATAAGTTGGAGCAAATGAGACAACAAGGGGTGATTTTGTTGAATTGTGCTGTGAAGTGGTTTCTGACGACAGGGAGGAGGCCAATGCCGTTGGTGGCAGCTGTTTTAGTGTTTGTGGCTGAGTTGAATGGGGTTGGGGATTGAGGATGTTGCCAAGGAGGT